GCAGTGCCCAAGAGGTAAGTTTATTTGTACTATGAAACACTAGAAAAACTCTCGAAACGAGACACCAAGCATCACTCAAGACCAGATACAGATAGGAGCCAAATACAGGAGATTTGGTTGAAAGTCAATCCAAGAAGCTTTCAGACCTGCCGGCCTCCGACAGAAGACAGACAGGATATTTTCCAGAGCAGTTGAATGTCAGGGACTCTGGACCTGGGGACACCAGGTTCACATGAGAACAAAGGTGCCAGTTCTTCAGTATGTTTTCAAAAGGATTAACTGTAAATGTATGTACTGATCATTGAGACTTCCAGCTCCTTTGCCATCTGTACTTTCACCTGGCTCCCGTCCTCCAAACAGGAGAGCGGTCTCCTTGGGAAACCGGCACTGGAGAACAGGACCGAAGATACTGCGGTAGGAAGGATGGCCCTATCTCATTAACCAGACCTCTGTTCAATGACTCTATAGTGAAACCTAGGACTTGATAAGCTTAGTCCATGAACACAGAATGTCAGTTTAAACTTTTTGTTTGTTTGTTTAAGTACTTCACAGTCAAATATAAATGGTCAGTCAAGAATCACCAGACATTTGAGGAAAACAGACCAATGCAAACCGAAAAAGCAAACTGGTAATATAAAATCAGGAGCAAAAGAACACTTCAAAACAAATAATCATATTCTCACAGATAACAGATGTTGCATTCTATGAGACAGTAAAAGTAGTCTATAAAAAAAGGAAAATTCAGAGAAAAAGGTTTTTAAAAAATGAAAATAGAAATTTAAAATTAGCAGGTAGCCCAATGGATTGATGCTGACCTATGAACTGAAAGGTTGACAGTTCAATTCCCAGTCAGGGCACAGGCCTGGGTTGTGGGCTAGGTCCCCAGTCAGGGCTATATGAGAGGCAACTGATCAAAGTATCTCTCACCCATTGATGTTTCTCTCCCTCTCTTTCCCTCTCTCTAAAAATAAGTAAAATCTTTAAAAATTAAAACCATCAGGATAATTGGAACATAGATTTGATTCAATTGCCCAGCATGTAAAACAGAAATGAAAAGTAGAGGAGAAAAGGTGAGGTTAATCCGCTCGGCCCAGCAGTGAACAAGTAGGGTTCTATAAAGAATACATAGAGAAGACAAATAAATAATCCATTTGAAAATTAAAAAAATAGAGAGAGAGAAAATGAGGGGGCAATACTAAGATATAATAGTATTTTCCAGAACCAAAGGCCGTGATTTTTTGTATTAAAAGGCCCCCTGAGCGCTCAGTATGAGATGAAAAATTTCAGAATACTGGGTATAACAGGATCCTAAAAAGCTTCTTAAGAGACAAAACCGGTAACATACAAAGGTTGGAAATCCAAATAGCATCAAACTTGTTAGCAAAAGTAGAAACTAGAAGACAATGGAACAATGCTTGTAACATTCTGAGAGAAAATAATGTCTAACTTAGAATTCTCAGTCCAGGCAAACTACCAATTAGATATAAGTCTAGACCCAAGGATATTTTTAAATTTGCAAGTCTCAGAATGTTTACTGTCCAACCCCACACCTATTAGAATTGCTAAAATGAAAAAGCAAAGATTGATAATAACAAGACCTGGCAAGGATTCAGAGCAACTGATACTGTTATACATTTCTGGTAGAAATGCAAAATGATACAACTGCTTTGAAAACAGTTTGGTAGTTTCTTAATAAGTTAAACATACACTTAACGTAGGAAACATACACTCAACAGTTTCACTCCTAGGTATTTACCCAAGAAAAATGAAAACATGTCCATGCAAAGACCTGTATGTGGTCTTTATTCATAATCACCCAAAACTGAAAATAGCCTTTGGGCAAAATATCCATCAACCAATGAAACGATAAATTGTACATAAGGAATAATTATAATTACATGTAAAAACATGGATGAAACTGAAATGTGTTATGCTGAATGAATACAGTCAGATACAAAAGGAATCTGGATACATACTGTGTTAGCACATTTGTGTGCCATCCTGGAAAAGGCAAACCCATAAGGGATGAATCAGATCAGCGGTTGCCCAAGGGCTGAAAGTGAGGAAGGGGATTGACTACAACGGGGCACGAGGGACCTTTTTGGATTATTGAAAATGTTCTGTATCCTTAATGTGTGGCAGTTGCATGACTGAGTAAGTTTTTCAAAACTCATTGAACCGTATAGCTAAAAAGGGCAAATTTTTCTGTTTGTAAATTAAACCTCAAATACATCTGACACTAAAAATAAGTTTATCCTCCAGCCCTCCTTTCTTAGAAAACAACTGGAGGATACACACCATCAAAACTAAGGAGTAGTAAACTGAGAAAGAGCCTTGGTTGGTGTGGCTCAGTGTATTGAGTGCCCACCTGCGAACCAAAGGGTCACAGGTTCTCTTCCCAGTCAGGGCACTTGCCTGGGTTGCAGGTCAAGTCCCTGGTAGGGGCTGTGTGAGAGGCAATCACACACTGATGTTTCTTTCCCTCTCTTTCTCCCTCTCTTCCTCCCTCTCTTCCCCTCTGTCTGAAAAATCAATCAATAAACAATCTTAAAAAATTAAAATACATAACAGGAGTCTTTTTTCCCGAAGTAGTAGGTAAAAGATAAGTTCCTTAAGGAAGATGATAGACTTTCTTCAGTTATTCTGGATAAGATTTGGAGTAGACTGTTCATATCTTTAAGATTCCATATTTTCTTTTTAAAAATACCTTTATTTCCTTAGTTATAAAATTAACATGCCATTGAATAAAAAATTTTAGTGGAAAGTACAAAGAATAAAAATAAAACTGTCAATAATCCTACTTACCCAGAGTTGACCTATTTGGACTAATTCATCCATCTCCTTTCTCCCTCCCACCCTCCCTTTCTCTACCCCTCTTCCTTCTCCTTCCCTTCCCTTCTTCCTTTTCTTTTTCCTTCCTTCCTTCCTTTCTTTCTTTCTTTCTTTCTTTCTTTCTTCCTTCCTTCCTTCCTTCCTTCCTCCCTTCCTCTCTCCCTCCCTCCCTCCCTCCCTCCCTCCCTTCCTTCCTTCCTCCCTTCCTTCCTTTCTTTCTTTCTTTTTCTTCTCTTTCTTCTCTTTCCCTCCCACACCCTCATTCTCTTCCAAATAGGAAATGTGCCATATCTTTTACTAGTGAGTAACCATAGGAGCTGTGAATTCCATGAGGAAAGAAATCAATAGAAAAGAGAAAGAAAGAGGAAATATAAAGCAAAGGGTGACAGGAGGATATAAAGGAGTAGAACAAAACCAAATGTAGTAGTCTTCTCTTAGCCAAGGTTTCACTTTCCACAGTTTATGGTCAACCATGGTCTGAGAATATTAAGTTGAAAAACTACAGATATAATTCATAAGTTTTAAATTGTGTACCATTCTGAGTAGTGTGTTGAAATCTCTCCCTACCCATACTGTATGTGCTGCCTGCCCATTAGTCACTTAGTAGCCATCTCAGTTATGTATTGACTGCCATGGTATCACAGTGCTTGAGTTCAGGTAACCCTTATTCTACTTAATGATGTCTCATTCACCCCACTTCATCACATAGGCATTTTATCATCTCCCATCATCACAAGAAGGGAGAGTGCAGTATAAGAAGGTATTGTATGAGAGAGAGACAACATGCACATAACTGTCATTATACTATATTGTTATAATTGTTATATTTTATTATTCGTTATTGTTAATCTCTCACTTTGCCTAATTTATAAATTAAACTTTATCACAGTTATGTATAAGAAAAAACATAACATATATAGAGTTTGGTACTATCCATGGTTTTAGGCATCCACTGGGAGTCTTGGAACTGTACCTCACAGATAAGGGGGACTTGTATATGCTGTTGGGTTGGCCAAAAAGTTCATTTGGTTTTTTTCTGTAAGATGGCTTTTATAGGGGAAAAAAACCAAAAAAACCCCACTTTTTTCTGTAGTACCGCTTAGTTGTATTTAACTTTATTTGAAACAATTTTGTTAGATTGTATTGTGTCCACTGTCCTGTAAGTATGTACTGTAAAAAACTTATCAGCACTGCTCTGGGAACCAAGAGTTTGCTGATTTGATTCCCACTCAGGGCACATGCCCGGTTGTAGGCCAGGCCCCTAGGTAGGGGTGTGCAAGAGGCAACAAACTGATTGATGTTTCTCTCCCACTCTTTCTCCCTTCCTTCCCCTCTCTCCAAAAATAAACAATTAAAATCTTTTTAAAAACATCAAAATTGGTGAATTTTTGTGTAGCCATTTTACTATTGAAAGTAGAGGAAAATATACCCCTTCAGCATATTATGCTTTATTAATTCAAGAAAGGTAAAAATGCAACTGAAATGCAAAAAAAAAAAAAAAAAGATTTGTACAGTATGTGGAGAAGGTGGTTTGACAGTGTGACTGTCAAAAGTGGTTTACAAAGTTTCATGTGGAGATTTCTCGCTAGATGAGGCTCCGCGCTTGGGTAGACCAGTTGAAGTTACTGGCAATCAAAATCGAGACATTAATTGAGAACAATCAACGTTGCGCCACATGGGAGATAGCTGACATGCTCAGAATATTCAAATCAACAAATTTATTGGTGAAAATTAAAATGTCTTTTATTTCATGGAATAAACCATATGGACTTTTTGGCCAACCCAGTAAATAAAGAAGAGTCAGGGTCAAGCCCTCCTGTCTGGATTTTGAAATGAGGCCATCATGCAAACAAGGAGCCTTTTCCCAGCATCTTTGGTGGGCAGTCCTGTATCCAGGTCTACAGTGCTACTGGGAGGGAGGAAGGGGTTGTTACTTTTTGACAGAAACATGACTGGCAATCACTGACAACAGAGATTCTGGTAAGCAGGGTACTTTATGAAACAGTCCCCCTAACCTCAGGTTCTCCAAACATCATCTCCAGAAAGAGACAGAAGTTATAGAGAGCAATTTTATGTTCATCATTGGAAGGAAATCTTACTGAAAAGAGGGGTGTCATTTACGTCCAAATACCTCTCGCCAGCCCCAACTGTGATTATTTCTGTTCTAGTGTTCCTAGAATCCCCTGGGCCTTCGCCATGACAGAAGTGTGTGGTGTGATCCTGTGCTACATTTGGATCCTGGTTCTTCTTCTTCACAAACACAGGTACTTCACTTAACTCCTTTAAAAGACTGCAAGTGTTTTGACTGTCTTGTGTTAAAGTCATCAAACCTGTTTTTTCCTATGTGGTTTCCTTCTTCATAACCTTCTCTAGTCATTGTGACATTATAGTTACTGACATAGGAAGAACATGTTTTGGTTTTAATCAACAAAAGAGTCAGCTGGAGGTAATGTCTTCATATTTTGTAATATTCTGAAAGTATTTGGCAGGTCAGTATCAGAAATGTTTAGACATGGGCCAGCCATTGGCAATCTAGCTGTTCATCTTTCTTTGGGAACATATTGAAAATGTCACTTCTATAGAAGGATAGCAACTCCTCCCAGGACAGTCTTTGGTCTAATGTTCACATGGAAGAAGTGGTTCTGTGCTTGGAGGAGGCCTGTTTAAAAAGAGATTATTGTGTATGAATCATGCATGCCTAGTCAGTGTGGCTCACTTTAGGTGGTAGAGGGAATTGCTGAGGAGGAAAAGTGCTTCTTTAGCACTTTCACCAAGAAATATAAAGGGAAGGATTTTTCTTCCTCATTAAAAAAAGACGAGAAGTGTAAGGGGAGGCTTATATCCTTTCTTAATGAAGGGAAACTACTTGATTTAAGTAAAAAAAATAAGGCATAGTGAACAAAAAAAGTAAAGAACTAAGAAGTTTGTGGATCTGCTATTCATTGTCTTTGGACCCTGGAGAGGAATAGGCACACACACTTCCTTGAGTTTGCCAGCCTTTCTTCTCACAAGGGCGTGCTTGAGGGAAACCAGTGATGGGCTTTAGATCCTAAGCAGCAGTTATTTCAGTGCTTTAAAAGTGAAAAGAAAGGTTGATTGCTATTCATGTCACACTTTTGGGCCGTATTGCACTTCATTCTCTCCCATTTTGTAGCAATATTGCTTAAAACCAGAGGTAGTTTAAAACTATGTGTATCTGCCCTGGCTGGTGTGGCTCAATGGATTGAGCACCGGCCTGTGAACTGAGAGGTCACTGGTTCAAATTAGTGCCCTTGCTTGGGTTGTGGGCCAGGTCCCTAGTTGGGGGCCTGTGAGGGACAACTGATGGATGTATCTCTCACACAGTGATGTTTCTCTCCCTCCCTCCCTTCCCCTCTCTCTAAAAGTAAATATATAAAATCTTTCAAAACAAAACACCTGTATTTCTGCAGCTTTCTGGCTTAATTTTGTCTTCCAAAACCCTGTGGATTTGAATATATCCACTCTTCAAAACAAGAAAGACTTTATAGGAAACCTTTGTAGATTTAGCAATGTGTAGCAGTGGCCAGTTAAGTGCAAATTTTGATGTTTAGTGAGAAAGTGTTTCTCAAAATGGGATCTTCTGTGCCACTTTCATTAGAATCACATGCCTCTTGTTAAAATGCAGAATCCTGGGCTCCATCCCAGGTATACACATTGAAGTTTGAAATGTACTAACTTTGCGTCGTTCACTGCTTTTTTGGAGGGTGGGAGTAGCATTTTGAAAATGTGTAAAGTATAGTCCCTGAACTTAAGAATCTTATAGTCTGTTTCAGTTTAAGACATTTAAAAAATAATAATATAACAATACAAGTGATGTCACAATGCACTATAAAATTTTTGTTAGAGATATACTTAATATAAAACAATATTAAAAACAATTCAGTATTTTATAGCTTAAGTTTAACTTAGGTTAAATAACATTTTGTAGATAGCTACTATTATTAACAAATTTTCAATGATATTAATGAGCAAAAAATTTCCTAGAACCACGTGTTCAACTTTACCTCTCATTAAGTAAATAACTTATGAGCAACATATGAATAATAGAACTAACAGTAAGCTAAGAGTCAGGCTGGGTACTAGTCTTCTCTTTTACATGATTCTTTTGCTTTCTCTTAGCCATGTTTTCTTATTAATGAAATGATGGTCTTAGGTCTGCACTGTCCAACATGGCAGTTGGTAGCCATATGTGGCCATTTAGATTTAAATTAGTAAAAACAAAACAAAATTAATATTCAGCTCCTCAGCTGCACTAGCCACGTTTCAAGTGCTCAAGAGCCACATGTAGGTAACTCACTGGGCAGTGTGGTTATAGAACCTTTTCATCACTGCAGTTTTCCTGCTTGCTGTCCCTTTAAGGAAACATCTGATGTCTTGGATTTGCTTGTTTTTTTTTCTGATCTTTCTCCCTTTTTGGTCACCCTGTTCACAGGTCAATACTTCTGCGAAGGCTCTGTAGTCTGATGGGCACTGTGTTCTTGCTTCGCTGCTTTACCATGTTTGTGACCTCCCTCTCCGTGCCAGGACAACACCTGCAGTGCACTGGAAAGGTAGCCTGCTGCCTTCTTATCATCCTTTCCTCTCGTTTTTGATGGGCTGATGGCACCATATGTGCAGCAGGGCTGAGATTTTGCTTTTATTATTAATATGCAGCAGGGCTGAGATTTTGCTTTTATTATTAAAATGTGCTTTCTGGTATTTTTCATATCTAAAATAAACCTCTAGAAATACTACTTTGGTAAAAATGTTAAGCCAGAATCTACCTCACTGATACTTCTATCCATCAATGTGCTGTAGAGTTTAGAAAGAACATTTCTTTGAATTAAGCATTTTTCTCTTTCTATCATCAGCATCCTTAGTTCTTCATATCACATGACTGGTCCCCTCACTGTCCTCATCAGTCCTTTTTTAAAAGTGTTGCAGTTTTGTTGGGGGAAATTGATAGCTATTTTAAAATGTAGCATAGCAATTAGGGGACTGTTTTTTACAGCCCGGATGTTTAACAGCCCAGTGATTGACCTTGTTTCTTCTAGCTTATCGCCTACATACCAGAGATAGTGAAAAACACTCTGCTTTCTGCTTCTGTAAATTATCTCCCGCTTTAGTCTGAAGGACAGGCCTCCCCCCCCCCCCCATAAAACGGCTGCTTTCCCTTTGTTCAGGGCTCAGAATTTGGAGACTGACTCCTCTGGGCCCGTACACGTTAATAAGCCTCGTACTCCAGAAACCCTCAGTGTCTGGTTGCTTCATTTTCCTGCAACAGTTTGATTACATTACATTTAAAATCTAGTACCCACTACTGTAAACTTTTTCTGGGATATACTAAATAATAGCTGATTTTTTGTTTTTGTTTTATACTTCGTAGCTTGTTTTGGTATATTGTAGACATCTCTTCTGGTTAAATTAAGAGAGAAGCAATTCCGTAGGTGAGAGCAAAAACCCTGGGTTTTGAATAACTTTAAAAAAGTACCCTGAAAATCACCTGTACTTTGTATATAAAATCGGCTGTTGTGACTCATTAAGTTTGGACAAAAGAATTTATTATCCTTCTTTTTTAAGCATCCATGCTGTAGTTGTGGTTCCATATATTCAAATGTATATGTTAACACCTTTGTTATTTTAATGTTATTTGTAAAGTGCAAAACAAAATTAAGTGTCGGTTCTTCTACTGCAATATAAATAGCTGAAGTGCCAACAAGGGAAGATTAAGCAGCCAAAGGAGATCAAGAGCTAAAAATACAGCTCTGAGCTGAAGGGCGACAGACTTTCTCCGGGTATTAGGAGACTGCCCAGTAAGAAATGTGGATGTGAAACTGGAAGAGTCGGCATTCATGCTGCCTGTCACTCCTGTCACTACCAGACAAGTAGAGGCAGGGATTGAATCCTTTTTTTTTTTTAAGATTGTATTTATTTATTTTTTAGAGAGAGGGGAAGGGAGGCAGACAGAGAGGGAGAGAAACAGTGATGTGTGAGAGATACATCAATCAGCCGCACACCCCCAACTGGAGACCTGGCCCACAACCCAGGCACGAGCCCCGAGCTGGTAACCTTTCAGTTCGCAGGCCAGCACTACATCCACTGAGTCGCACCAGCCAGGGCCAAGGATTGAATCTTCATGGATGCTTTATTCAGATAGCCAGTGATCTGAGAAGACGGCAGGTTATGTACCCTAAAAGACTGTATACATTTCATCTCAAGTCAACCTTTTTTTTAAAGATATTATTTATTTGTATAGAAATGGGGAAGGGGCGAGAAAGAAAGGAAGATAAACAGCAATATGTGAGAAAAATATCAATTGGTTGCCTTTCACATGCTCCCAACTCCAGAACCTGGCCTGCAACCCAGGTGTGTTCCCTGACTGGGAGTTGAACCAGCGACCTTTTAGTCCACAGGCTGGAGCTCAAGCCAACCTTTTTTATAAGGAAAAGAAAAGTGTAGGTAAGGGGTGTAGAATTCAAGGAAAAGGTTAATCATATAAAAGTTGCAGTCCTGGCAATTTTCCTAGCATCCTTTCATCTTTTGGCCAGTGATTCTTTGTGTCCTGGGCTGCTGACTTCTCTCCCTAGAACATAATGGCTCAGGTACCATCTTAATTGCTTGTAGTCCTCCTGGGGCACACAGGTGGGATTGCTGGTGGATCTTCTGGAGTCAGGGTGGGTCCAGTTATACATTCCAGTTCCTGGAATGCATTAATTACTAAGCTTATTAACTATAACTGAAAACTAACAACTTTCCAACTTGAGTTGCCCCATCATTTCCCCACTGTTAGTTTAAACTATCTTATTTCTAGATCAGTTTCATATGGAAGTAATCATTTCTCTGTTGAGCCCGTATCTTCACATTAGCAAGGCTGATAGAGGGGTTAGCAATATACCTAACTGCAGATCGCCATAAGGGGGCATATTGTGTGCAACCAGTTACGATACTGAAAAAGCTGAAAAGAACGAAGACAACAAATGCCTCTAAGGCTAGTAATTCTAGGCAGCCAGGAGGTTAGTTTAGACAAGTCAATACCAAACAGTCCTTCTCTTTGTTTATCCCGGACACCACTTCATTTTATGCTCTGTAAGCTGTGAGTCATCAGTCAGGTTGAAACAGCAGAGTCCTTTAAATTTTTCTCATCCAGATTATGCCTTAAAAGGAGGTAGTCTGTAGCTGCGCAATTTTCTAATACCGCTTCTCTAACTTGTCCTAGTTCTCAACTGATGGCACTCAAGACTGAGAGGTGGCATTCGAAGCTTTTACCATAGCATAGGCTAATTGACTTATTTCTGTATTCAAAAAGGTTACCATCACAGGCATTACAAATATAGTCAAAGATGTGTGTTCAGCGGGGTAAAAAAGGTGTAAATCAGTTACAATCAGATGAAAGGGAGAGTTCCCATTGAGCCCAGGTGGTGTGGGCCTTCTGAGGCATAAACACTGTCAGTCTTCCTAGAGACCATGGTCCCACAGAACTGTTTGCTGGAACATAGAAATAGATAGTCCTTCCACATATTAGGAACCATCCTACAGACAATTTGGTGTCACTAAAGGCATAAAATGCATGAGTGGTGGTGTGATTCACATTCACGTCTGCTGAAAACATAAAACAGTTTTTAGTACAGTTGACAGAAGTTGCACACTCTTCAGCTAGGGCTACCTCTTTTAAGGTAACTTTTAAGTAACTTTTAAGGTAAACATTTCCATGTCCTTTAGAGTTACCACAGGTCCCCAGTTCTAAATACTAAAGTAGGTTATGTTCTCATTGATATGCTTGAATAAAGTATAATTTCAATGGCTTCCTAGGGGAGTACAAACTTTTTGATATGAAGTGAAAATTTGTTTTGCAAGACAAAAGTCAGAGATGTTTAGAGTGTTTTTGGTAAATATATCTGAGTATTTCATTTTGTTTGAATGTTCTCCATAACATGGGGTTAAACAAAAAATGAGAAGACTATAAGTCATTGTTTTTGAAGGATAACTTTCAGGTCTTCTTATATGTATTTTTTAAAGATTTTATTTATTTTTTAGAGAGAGAGGGAGGGAGGGAGGGAGAAAGAGAGGGAGAGAAACATCAGCGTGTGGTTGCCTTTTGCACACTCACTACTGAGGACCTGACTGGCAACCCAGGCATATGCCCTGACTGGGCATCGAACTGGTGAGCCTTTGGTTTGCAAGCTGACACTCAATCCACTGAGCCACATGAGCCTGGGCTGACTTTCAGGTCATCCTGTGGTTTGGTGGTCTTTGTTCTTCCAGTGCTTTCTTTACTGTGGTGTGATGAATCCAAGGTTTTATTCCTGCCAATTTGACCATGGTTGGGGGGGTAAGGAGTGTGTCCCGAGGTCTGATTAACTTTTCTTCTATTTGGCTCTCTGTAGATCCTGTCTTCCAAGTCTTGAGTAGCACTTTATCTCTAGGCTCAAAGGAATGTAGCCGACGTTTGGGGGAAAGGTCTCTGATACAAACAAGGTCATTAATCACAGTGAGTTCTGACTAGATGTTGTACATAGTTCTTTACCTTCACTGCTTGATCTACATATATATGTCCCACCCCAGTGTAGCCCGAAATGGTGTCCCATACAGAATTTCATAAGGACTCAGCTGAATCCCACCTCAAGGGACCACCCTAATCCTGAGCAAGGCAATAGGTAAAACTTGTTCCCAATGGAGATGAGTTTCTTGACACAGTTTGGCTATATTTTTCTTCAAGGTGAGATTCATTTCTTTACCTTCCCAGAAGCCTCTGGTTTCCACGCTGTGTGAAGTCTACACTTGATTCCTAAAAAGTTACTAACTTTTCATGTAATTTCTGAAACACAAGCAGGTCCATTATTGCTGTGGATGCTTCTGGGTAGGCCAAAGTGAGGAATTATTTCCTTCAGTAAGGCTTCATTACCTCCAGGGACCTCTCACTTGTAGTAGGATAGTCTTCTACCCATCCTGAAAAGGTGTCAACCAAATCTAACAAATATTTCTACCATTAGGCCCTTGGCACCTGGGTAAAGTCTATTTGCCAATCTTCAAATAGGCACTGTTCTTGGTATTTTTTCCCATCTTTCCTTTGATGGTGATCTGGCTTGGGGTTGTTTTTCTGGTACACAACACATCTAGCAATTACTTTTTGTGTGGCTTTAGAAATTCCAGGACCCACGAGTCACAGTTTAATATAGGTGGTTAATGAATCCCTTCCACAGTGAGTGGCCTCATATAAATACTTCATGACTGGCTGTACTAAATGTTCAGGAGACAATATAACTCCTTTCTTATTATTTCAACCCCCTACTGTTGGAATCTTCTTCATCAAAATTCCAGCTCTTATCTTTCTCTAAGTCTGTAGTCAAACATTCAGGGTCAAACTGTGACAAGTCTAGGACAGGTAACAAAGGCAACATAAGTGTTCCTTTTTTTTTAAGGTTTTATTTCTTTATTTTTAGAGAGAGAAGAAGGGAGGGAGAGAGGGAGAGAAACATCAGCGTGTGGTTGCTTCTTGCACAGCCCCCACCAGGGACCCAGCCTGAAACCCAGGCCTGTGCCCTGACTGGGAATTGAACTGGTGGCCCTTTGG